GTGCCACCCATCCCCGTGTCCTTTGTTAGGCAAAGGATTGATGCCAGCTCACAGCTCCAGCCATTTCCCCCATCCAGGAAACAACCTGCAGCTTGCACACCAATGTACCTGCACTAAGTATATTCCTCAACACTTCTGACCTCCTCAGCAGCAAGAAAAAGCCAAAACAACAGAAAAAAAAAGGTCACCACTGGAAAGGCTCTTGCGAGGCACCCCAGTGCACCCATATCCAGAGCAGTGTGCGCCATCCCAGCCCCAAGCAGGAAGCAGCCTCCTCCTGGCATAGCCTGAGACATGTCCCCCTTGCAGGGCAGGCATGATTGCTGTTGGCCCTGGTACCAGCACAGCAGGGCAGTGTGATGGGAGCCAACAGCCCAGGGATGGTGTGTGACCCCACCTGGGGGAAGAACCCAGCAGAGGCCCCACTCCAGGAGCAATTCTAGGGATGAGTTTTGTTGAGGTGCTATTCAACAGCAGGCTGGATCAGGCAGGCTGTGTCTCCTCAGCGGGGCTTGGAGAGCACGGAGGGAGACACGGCTCTGCAGGCAGTCACAGGGTGACCCGGCCCTGGCTCCCAGCCCCGGCTCGCAGCCCGTGAGCCACCTCATGTCTCAGTCCTGCCGTGAGGCTGAGTCCCAGCCTCTGTTCTAGCAGCAGTGCCCCAGCCATGCTGTTGTTCTGGCAGGCTCATTACAGCAGGTCTGCTTTTAATTAAGCAGGATGCTGCTTTTGTATAGCTGAACCCCTGGGTAGTTTGGGTACAGAGCCTTGACCCCTGCAGCTCCTGCTGCTCACCCCTGTGTGCAGGGCAGCAGGCAGGGGGAGCCGGGGCCAGGGGCTTCGGGAGCACATGCTGGGGAGGTGTGTCCCAGCCACACGGAATGTTGGCTGTGTCCCCAGGGTTACAGGGCATGGTGCAGTCTGTACCATGTCCTGTGGCTGGTGTTTGCTCTCTTGGGGCCAGAAGGCAAAGCCCAAGGCTCTTATCGCGCCAGGCAGATAAGGGTTAATGCCCCAGCAGTTGTGCTGAGCTGGCTTTATTGGCAATAAACCCCCTCTGGGAGCAGCTTCCTAATCATTACAGATTGCAGGTAGCCCTACCTCCAAGGCTGTCCTTCAGCAATAGCACCTCTGCCTGCCCTGCTGCCCCTGCACTCCCCTTGGCAAACACACTAGGAGCAGGCCCCTCCAGCCCACACCCCTTCAGTGCCACACAGCCCCCTTGCAGCCCTCACTGGGGGCATGTGCCCCCAGCCTGTTCCCAGTGCTCAGTGTGGATGCTCGTGCAGGGCTGAGCAGGGAAACAGTCCAGAGGCTATGGTCTGTGTGGATCATATTGCTGTCCTCGGATACCTGAAAGACACTGGAATGGGCAGCTGGTACCCCTGGGGCACAGCTCTGTCCGGCAGAGATGTCAGAAATCACTCCTGATTTCTGGAGGGGGAAGGGGATAAGATTGTCCCAGCCGTTCCCAGCACCAGCTGATCGCAGGGCCACAAATGTTTAATAAATGGGAGTGGAGTCATTTGTCTGGGCTGATCCCCCCAGGAAGTCTGTGCTCTGCAAAACAAACCGGGCTTTTGTTTGACTTGTTTTAAGTTAAACACGTCACCCCTGTAAATCACAGGTCCCCTTCCCTGCCCCAGGGGCAGCGGCAGAGCGAAGGGGGCTGGTGGCCTGAAGGTGCTGGTGCAAGCCAGAGCCACGCGCTGGCAAGTCTGGTCCCAGCCCCGGGCTGTGCGTCCCACTGGGAGCCACGGCTGGAGCATCCCAGCCCCCGCAGCGCACAGCCGCCCCAGCCGGCTCACACGCCCCGCTGCGCGCAGCCCCCAGGCAGGTTTGCAGCGCTGCTCCCGGGGGACTCTCCTCCCGGCTCCCCCAGATCCCAGCTGCCAGGCTGCTTTCTCCCCGCGGGGCCGGACGCCTGGACGCCGGGCCAAGGTCAGCCGTGGGCTGCGGGCCCTCGGAGGAGCGCGGCCGATGGCCGGGCTCGGCGCGGCTCGGCGCGGCGTGCGGGCGGCGTGCGGCCGCGGCTGCCGGCGGCCGGCCCCGCCGCCTGCCAGCGGGGGCCGGGCCGCTCGTGTGCGGCGGCGGCGGCGCGCTCCCGCCCGCGCTCCCCACGCCGCTGGCAGCCCGCCACCGCGCCGGGGGTTCGCTCCTTTCTCACGACCTCTCAGGTTCCTGAGCTCATCTGGGAGCTATTCATTTCCTGCCAGAAAACAGCCTTGCCTGCTAAAAAAACCACCTTGGCCGCAGAGCGGCCCAGGGCTTGGTACGAGGGCTCTCCCGGCTTAAATCATAAAGCTCCGGCTGTCTGGCTGGAATCAAAGGCAGGGCGGGCGTGGGGGGGCGCGGGGGCCTGTGCCATATGGTAGCACTTAAGAGCCAAGGAGGAAGCAAGGAGGGGCTTTTGCACCGCTCACGAGGAGTGTGGGAAAAGTTAATTGACTTTAATGACAGGTTTCCCGGGACGGCAGCAGCAGCAGATGGAAAGGAGCTGCGGGGATGCGAGGGGCAGCCGGGGCTGTAAGCTCCGTGGTGGGTGGGGGGCAAGGCAGGGTACTGGGAAGGCAGGAAAAGCCCCCTGTGCATGGACCTCCGTGCAGGTGCACTGCAGGCAGGGATTGGAGTACTGCTCCTTCCAGCTCAGTACCCTCGGGTCTGCAAATGCACCCAGAGGACTGTGGCAAAGTGCTGACCAACTCAAGAATGGTCATGAGAGAGAAAGACCTGCCTCCAGCCCTTCCCAGGATCCTCTCCACTACCAGCCAGGGCCCAGCAAGGTGCCCAAGGAAGCCAACAGGAGCTGCATCCCATCTGGCAGCACTAAGTCCAGTCCCTTTTCCTACCTGTCCTGTACACTCCCCATGCAGGGTCATAAGCTCAGCCCCGGACGTTCCCTGGCACTCCTCCCTTACCCTTTCCCGCTCATCCCTCAGCATCAGTTTAAAGGCATTTGCTGCACCTGAAAGAGAATTCCCACACACAATGATCCACAGACCCACAGCCTGCATTTGTCATCCCAATTTGTCACGGGCTCAGTGAACTGGCACCAAGAGCACAGCTCTTGGGAATTGCTCTGATCCCCTTAAAGCTCACAAATTCAAGCAGATCTCTCATGTCAACAGGCTGTGGGATAGAGTAAACAGAGAAAGCCTTGGAGAAACCGGCCCAAGCATGCTGTATCTGCTTTATACTAGGCTATTTAAACTCCATTAGCAAATAGGTTCATCTTGTCTTTCACTCTGGGATCTGCTCTATGTTCTCCATTAGCCTACAGCAAAGTCTCTTTTTTTTCTAATGTGCTTTCCAAACCAACTGCTTCAGCAGAAAAGGACTCTGCTCAGATGGAACAGCATTCACTCTTATAGGTGATGCATGACTGGTCTACATCAGCTCCACACAAGCCAAGGAGTTGGTCCGATGCAATTCTGAGACAGGTCCTGCGAGCACTTCTCTGAACACAGGGTGGGCTCACTCCTTCCCTCAGGACCTCCAGTGCAGAAAGGTGACACTGGCTGGTGGAAGGGAAAGATAGCTCAGCCTGTACAGCTACACATCTGCCTTGGGACAACAAATCTGATATTCCCAAGCCTTGCACACAAAACCTGGCTGTGAGATGCCTCTGTGAGGGTGGCAATGCAGGCAGGCCAGCAAGGTGTTGAAGAGGGAAAGGGAGATCAGGTCGTTTAAAAAAAAAAAAAGCTGCCACTGCCTATCTTAGGCACATACCAACCGCCTTACCAGGATGTATTTTCAGATCAGGTAAATATGTTTCTTTACTGGGAGCAAAGCTGGGGAGTCAAACCCCAGCAGGTTTAATCCATCTGGTCTCACTCACCTCAGCTTTCATTTTCCCAGCACCTGGATACAGTCAAGCACCTGGCTGATCCAGACAAAATCCAACAAGCTTTTGCAGCAGGATTTGGACAGAAACCCCAGTGGATCCTGGCACATTTTAAAGCTGTCCGCTCTGAGTTAGGACTTGTTAAGAAGGGCCATGCAAGCCGTAACCTGAGACTGCTGCTCGCCACTATCTATGGCTTGCATCTTGCCTGGAAACGGGGCATCCTCAAGTCACAGGGGTCAGCTGCAGCTCATGATTACAGAGTCCTTGCAGCCCCACATCACTCCCTCGACCACGTGTTTTCCATATAACAGCAGAGGAAATGCCCAACTCTATCAAAACCACATGCAAAGCATTAATCATCAAGCAGAGCTTGGCTGCTGCTCAGGGTCGGGAACAGCTCTATGCTTTTAAGTCCAGGTGGAGGTGGTGCCCAGCGCCTGCTGCAGCCCGTCAGCCAGGAGACAGGAGCACTCGTGTCAGGCTTGTCCTGCGGAGAGCCACTGCTTTTGTAACTCGAGAAGCTGGCAGGCACCGCTCTCTCAATCAACTGACTGGAGGCACTTGCAATTTACACTACAGCCTGGGAAACAGGCTCCTCTGGGTTCAGGGCAGGAGGCTCAACCCGGGCAGCTCAATGTCTTGCTTTACCACACCAACTCCATCAGCCTGAGGTGCCAGAACAGAGCAGAGGTGAGTCCCACAGCACATTCACCAGCTCTGCAAATACAAGCTCCTTTTAACAAGTCTGATTAATTGAGCTGCTCCCAAAGAAGCACTGATTACTTCTGCCCCAGGGCAGGGAGAGGGACCAGGTGATTTCATAAGACAGAGGGGACGGAGGGTCTGAGAGACAGCTCCAGCCTGGCGAACAGGACAAGGCAGCCCTGGAGCAGCAAGATCCACAGGCAGCCAGGAACTGGAGTCCCTCCTATGCACACATGCCAGAGCTCAAATTTTCTCCAAAAGCCTTCCAAAATGGAAGGGATACTTTTATTTAAAAAAAAAAAAAAAAAAAAAAAAAAAAAAAACCCAACCAAAAAACAAACCCCCAATCTTTGGTGTCACATAAGGAAAGGGAGGAAGGAAGAAAAAAAGATCTCGTGTAAAACACGAAACACTGTCAAGGGAGTGCTATGGTACAAAGGCAAAATCCAATATGAACATATAATCTATATACAGCCGTGCCAGCAGCACGGGGTGCAGTGCCAAGTCCAGTCCGGTGCCCACCACCCTCACCAGGGTCTCCAGACTGAGTCAGCCGTGCCAGGTGGCGGGCCTGGCGGCGAGGCAGCAGTGGCTGGGCCACCATACAGAGGCAGCACAGCTCCACCAGGAGCAAAGGCAGTGCTGGGGATGAGGAAGGCAAACTGCCCATCAGAGGCTGGCAGCAGCTGGAAGCCACCGTACACCTTGGCTGCATCGGCACCCGGCTTGCAGGGCATGCCCGGGAGTGGCCCCACGCCACTGCCTGGAGGAACCAGAGGTGGCCCAAAGGCTGCGGCTGGTGGCAACGGGGGCGGCGGGGGGGGCGCAGGGTAGTTCATGGTGTTGATCTGGGTCATGCAGCTGGCCAGGTGGCCCAGGAGCCGGGTGCGCACCTCAGTGTTGACGCCCTCGCAGGTGGAGAGGAACCGCGTCACCTCGTTCATGCACTCGCTGAAGCCGGCTCGGTACTTGCCCAGTACTGTGGGGTCTGTGCTCAGGGCAGCTGTGGGAGAAGAGAGGCACACAGCAGTCAGCAGGCTCCACAGGAAAGAGGGGTGCACAGCCCACAGCATTGCATCCTACAGCCCCTCTAAGCTAGGACCCAGATGGGAAAAGCAGCCCCTCTGGCATAGTATGTCTTGTGTTCCCAAGTACCAAGAATTTGGATGGAGAACACAGCCCCTCTGCTACCAAATCCACCAGCAGCAGAGACCCAGGTAGGGAACGGACAAGTCCCAAAAATCCCCTTACTCCCCCATATCCCAGAGACCTAGGTTAGAAATACAGTTACTCCAGTGGCTCTTGTGCCTCTCACACCCCCAAAACAGACCCATGTGCAGAGCACAGCTCTGCTAGCAGAAGGAACTCAAGCGGGGACTGCAGCCCTCTGTGTGCCCTCCAGCACCAGAAATGCACAAACAACACAGTGACGGTCCCAGAATCTCTTTATTGAGGATACTAGCACAAAGCATGATGCCCCTCACCAACTCCCCCGTAGCAGGGATGGAGCACTGTGTCCCCCGTGAAAGCAGGATTCAGGTGCTGGCACCAGGAATACAGGTACAGAACACAGTACCCTCATCTCCATCACTCCCCGGGGATGCAGGTGCAGAGCCTGGTGCTCCTGCTGTCCTCTCTACCGAGCAGGCAGGCAGTGTGTGATGCCCCCAGCCCGCGGGTTGGAGGCAGCGCCACCCCAGCTCCTTTCCTCCGGTTCCCCCTCGGGACTCACCAGTCATTTGGGCTCGCTGGAGGCTCCGCAGGTGCTTGACGGTCATCTCCAGAATGTCGGCTTTCTCCAGCTTGGAATGCCGGGAGCTCTGCGGGAACAGGCGGGGCTCAGACCGGCCCGGCAGCGCCGTTTGCCCCCGCACCCCCCGCCCCGACCCCCCTGTGCTTACATCCTTCTTCAGCGCGTCCAGGATGAGGGTCTTCAGCTGCCCTAGGCTCTCATTGATGCGCGCCCGCCGCCGCTTCTCCATGATGGGCTTGGAGGACTACAAGAGAGGCGACAGTCAGCGTCCGGCACGGCTCCGCACGGCGCTGCCCGCTCAGTCCCGTCCCGTCCCGGCCGCCCTTACCTTGCGATGCTCCGCCGCCGTCTTCGGCTTGTCGGGCGTCGCATTGACGCTGGCGGGGGTGGCGGCCACCGGCGAGGCGCTGCTCTTCTCCATCAGGTCGGCCGGCATGGTGCGCCGGCGGGAAGAGGCGCCGCGGCGGCGGCAGCGGGCGGGGGCCGGGCCGGGCCGGGCCGTGCGGAGCGCTCGGGGCGGCGGCGGGGCCGGCGGGGCGCGGGTGCCGCGCGCCCTTGGCCGCCCCTACTTATATAGCGCGCGCCGCACGCGCGCGGCTCGTGTGAAACGTCCCCCGCCGCCGTTCCCACACTCGCGCCCAGCCAATGGGCGCCGCCCGCACGCGGCCCCGCTCGTGGACGGCGCCCGCCCATTGGCTGCGCGCCGCGCGGCGGCCGCCGGCCAATGGCGCGGGGCGGGCGGCCGCGGTTTAACCCCTTGGGCACCGCCCGCGGCGGGGGGGGGGCGCGGGGAGCGCCGCGCTAATTACCGGGTTAATTGGCGCCCGTGGCAGGCGCGGCCCCGCCCGCTCCCCTCGGGCACCGCCGGCCCCGGGGCGGGCTGCGCTGTGGGGGGCCGCGGCCCTCCGGGGTGACGGCCGGGACGCGGCGTGCCGGGCCCAGCTACCGTGTGCGGGGGCTGCGGCGAACCGCGGGGCGCGCCGCGGCTGCTGCGTCCTCCCACGGTGCCCGCAGCATTGCCGCGGTCGCACAGATCTCCCCGGGGCAGGCCAAGGCTCCCCACAGCAGACCGGCTCTCCCCCCCGGTCGCCCAGGCGTCCCCACGCCCGCCCGGGCAGCGCCACGCGGTGCTGCCCTGGCCCCGCAGGAGCGCCCGGGGCTGGCGGGGCCGGTGCCCGGGGCGGCGCGGGGCACGGGGCAGGTGCGCGGTGGCACCTCGGCGCCGAGGGCGGTGGCCGCCGTGGGCTCCGTGCCGTGCGTGGGTTCTGCTGCCCGCTCGCACGCCAGGCCGGCGGCGCGGGCACGGGCGCGCTGCTGCTGCGCTGACATCGGGGGCACCGGCGAAACCGCAGGGAGGGAGGTGCCCGTCCCTCGGGCCTGGCCCAGCCGCCCTGCTGCCTCC